TAAAGGGAGGTCAGGTATTTTAGTGGCTGGAGGAGGCAGGTACAGATATGGAAAAGAAAAAGGTTTAGATGAACCCTGTGGTGTTGGATTGTTTGATTGAAATTAGAAGAGCAGATATAAACATATGGTTTTATAGATACAGATAGACAGAGATAGAGATGTAGATAGATATAAAGATATTTAAATGTGTGTGTATGTCCATTAAGAAGAGGACCTGAGAGCAATGACATGTAAGTAGTAATGAGCAAACTTAATGCCCAAGTCTTAGTTTCCAAATATGTCTTTCCAGGGTTCACTGGAGAATCTGAGAGTGAATCATGGAAAGAATAGATGAGCTTGGAACTTTATGTGGCAGAAAATAAGGAATTTCTCAAAAGAATAATGGAGACATAACCAAAGAACACAGGAGCCACCTTGAAGGAGTTCCCACTGACCAAACATGGAACAATTTGAGCATTAAAATAAGTGATAAGAATAATGGATTATAATCCACTGAATACAATAAGAATCCGTGAATCCTGACTGATGTCATAACCAAATAAAGAAATAGGAAGAAAAGAAAGCTCTTAGATTAGAATTCCAATTAAAAATCTAGAAGTAATTTAGTCAAGACATTTCAATAAATGGTAAAATTATTAGTGGATATGAGTAAGATGAACAGGATTTCAGTCTCAAAGTATCTCTCTGCAAAATGTTTATTAATTACAAAGGAAAGGGAAAATTAACTTTACAGTGGAAAAACCCAACAGACATCATTTGAATCAGGTATTCAAAGTTAACACTATCAGTAATGGGACAAATTAATGGCATATGCCACCTGATAAGATTCAATGAGAAGAACACAACATCACTTCTCTAATATTTCGGGGGAAAAAAGTTCACAACCTGGTTATAATCAAGGGAAAATATCAAATGAAAAGAAATTTAGAAAACTTCTATAACATACCTTCAAAAATGTCAAGGTCATGAAAGTCAAGTAGAAATGGAGGAATTCTTTCAGATTGAAAGAGCCTGGGAAGATATGACAATTGAGAACAATGTATGGTCCTAAATTAGACATTTTTGCTATAAGGACATTATTAGAATTGGCAAAATTTGAATCAGGAGTCTTGAAGAACGGTATTTAGTTTGTCATATTACTTATGCAACTTTTCTGAGAGTTTAAAATTATTTGAAAACTAAAAGTTAAAAAAAAAAAAACTTCTATGCTCATTTGTACTTTGTAAAGCTTCCAATGTGCAGTTCTAACGTTACACAAGCCAGAAAAAGAATGTTCATTGAAAAACAGTAATAATAGCATCAGTAAAGTGGCAAATGAGATTAATCTCATGATGTCAACCAATCAATTTTTTCACAACACTTTTTGATTTTTATCTATTCTCCTGGCATCCTGTAGGCACCAGCTTTGCTTATTCATACTTTTCCTTTCACAAATCCGTGTGCTCATTTAAAATATAGCAAAAGATGTTTTGAGAATACTTTTGCAATTAATCTTTTACTTTACTTTCCTTTTATTCCTCCTTTCCTTCCTTCATTTATTTATTTTGGAAGCAGCATTCACCCTACTAGAAGAACCTATTCTAAATATAAAATACCCTGCCCACCCTTATGACAAAGCAGCATATGATCAGACAGAGGAGAAAAGAATCACTACGCATTTACCCTTCTAAACTCCTTTTCATCTGCCCAGCAGTCTCTCATGCCCCCTCTTCTTTATCACTGTTTTCTTCCTATCTTTTCTGGACCAGAGACATAAAACTGTTCTTGAAATTAATTAAACAGAGGTGGACCTCCAGCACTTGTTCTAGCCCTATAATCTAAGGTACACAAAACTT